TATGAGCTGTGAAAGTTAAGGTATTGATTTTTTTTCAAATGTAGATCTGCCTGATTTCTATTGACGGCAGCCCATATATAAAATGTAATACATAATAAAATTCATGAACATCTAATTCTCTGCGTCAATCACAATTTTCAATTGGCACGTGTAAGTTAGGTGTTAAATTAGTACTGTAGTAACGGCAATGATAATGTGATTTCATCTTATAATAGATCATAAGAAAATACAAACTTTAAAGCAAAATTTTATACAACTGTTTTTGTGTCTTAAATGAAAAAAGATTCTAAAATTGATTTATGTAAAAAAATTATTTTGAAAAAATTGTCATCTGGCCCATATACAGTATACAACAAAATATTAGCTTAAATAAATGAACTTAATCATGAGATACAATATAGCTTTTGAGTAGACCGAATCTTGAAAATCTATGTTGGCTAAAGGAAAAATAAACATTGATTAATAAAAGTTGATAGAACTAGTTGTTTGAATATATTAAAAAAACAAACCTTTTATACTGTATAATCCGAATTTTAAACATTGGGTACTCATGCTTTCAAAATTCTTTATACAAATATAGCTGAAGAGCTTTGTTTAATTAAGCAAGCTGGAAACAATTTAGGGGCACAAATTTGTCTCATTTGAAAACTATAAAGCTTGAAAAAAAAACTTAAATTAATAATCCACCGTCGGAATGGTCGTATCTAGGTTTTTTAGAGTCGTTAAGATTAATATGGACGTCCGGTATTCGAGAAACAACAATCGCTGAGAACTCATTAATGCGAAAGAAATACTATACTATTCTAAAAAGAATAGCTTCTAAGGAAAAAAAAAAAGAGAAGGGTTGTTTTGCGACTTTATTATTACATTTTCTTTTCTGAGTCAGGATTTGCACAACCTTGGAGGGGTGTCGTTCTTACAGTGCAATATCCTTTTATGGCACACCCTGGGGGTGTCGTCCTACCAGGTGTGATGGGTGTCGTTCCTAGTGCCAATAAATTGTGTAGCACAGCTCTGGGGGTGTCGTCCTACCTGGAGTGATGGGTGTCGTCCTAGTGCTACGTATAATTGTTATTGTAAACCACCTCTTCGTCTATAGTTATTTGTTTTTTGCACACAAAACAAAATTAACTTCTCTTATTTTTTTTTGCAAGGATGAGTCACAAGGGGTAAAGGAATTTTGGGAGTGTGTTGAGCTTGAAAAAAAAGTGATAAATACACGGGTGTGTTTTATTATTTTAGCTCTTTCTTCACTTTCAACTGTATTTATATTAACTTGTTTCTCTAGGTTGCTTTCAAAAAACAGAGTTAGATGCAATAAAGGTGCTTGACACCGCACGAACCAAAGAAGCAGCTGATTTTGTCGAACAGCTCAAAATTGGACAAAAGAGACATCATGAGGAGGAATTATCATCAACTCCACAAAAGGTCTGATCGTATCTTAATTACTGGCCTGCAAAAATATTATCTTACCTTTAGGCTACGCAAAGTTAATTTTTCGTTTTGCATAACCTACCCACCCAATACCCAATATTTCGGATTTTTTTTTTTTTTAGGATCCGATTGTTTCATTTTTTTGCTATAGTGTGGGATTATATTGAAATAATTTGAATTGTTGCATTTTGATTGGCTAATATTTAAATTTTAAAAAATATTTTCTGATTTTTTTTTCTGTTTATTCGCTGTCACCCGATGGTGACATAATTTTCCGGAACTACCCGATAGGTCTGTCACCAAATGCAAGTTTTGATTAGTTAATCTATATTATTAAATTAAAAAAATTTTAATTGCTGATTCACATAAGAATAGTATTTTATAGGCGCAAATTACTATTAAATTTATTATAATTATGAAATCTTCTTTTTCTCCATAGAAAACTATTTTTTTTATTATGCTAATGTACTTTATTTTTCTAATAAAAAATATAGAGAAAACAATTTTATATATAATACAAAAAATTTATTAAAATTGGTTAAGTAGATGAGAAGATATTTATATTTTATTTTTTAAAACTATATAAAATTTTTATAAGTGTGGAGGAAAAAAAGATTTCATCCTTATATAAAAAACATAATAAATTATACTTTCGTAATTTATAAAATCCTATCCTTCATATATGGATTGTGAATTAAATTTTTTTATCAAAATTTAACTGTTAATCACATTATTAATAAAAATAATTTACTTAGAATTTTAACTTTGATACGTATAACTAAAATTTCTTAATTTCAAATTCTTTATGGCCAAATAGCTGCAAATTGATTAAAATTGTGAATGATTCCTCTATTTATCAGATGAAGTGAAATCCGCCGATATGTAAGACTATAAAAAACAAGCTAGTAATTAAAGTCATTCACTAATAAAATTTTAATAGATTAATTTATAATAGTGTCGTACAATAATTAATTAATATATTTACAGCTTTGATAAATATAATTACAATATAATACAATAGTAAGCTTAAAAAATTTAGCATTCACGAGGACATTCACAAGGACATTCACTAACAGGGCAAATTTTATGTTTTTCAAACCATTGGGACATATGTAAAGCATGACCTCCATGCCTACATGATTGGCACCATGTAAACCAAAGATCAAATCCAGATCCCTTAACTACAAATATAAAAACGTTCAGAATCATATAAGTAAATAAATCTTAATGTATTTTAACTTAAAATGACTCACTATCGTTAGTTGACCCATTTTTTGCTATTACTTCTCTTAAGTGATCTGTTGGTGTTCCAAGACTTAATAAACATATAGAACATCGGGGCAATGACTTATAACAAACGGGACAACAAGTAGTCTATAATAAAAATTAGCAATTAGCCAACTTTCAAATCTGGCAAATAAAATGTCTTCTAAGTACCTTTTGTTTGGGTAATATTCCTCCTGGAGTCAAATGATATGAAGTAGGTAAGGTAACCCGTCTATTCTTTCCAGGAATACATAGGTTATGCGCAATACTTTGACTGCAGAAATTACATCGAACGTATACTTGAGGTGGTATATTTTCGGCAGCTGAAGGCGAAGTGCCCATATGTTTACCGCGTGCAATATCGAATAATGCGCGAGAACGAAACATTTCCCATTTGTCTAATAATAAACGATAGCTAATTTATAATAAATGCATAGAATATCACTTAGTAATATAATGGGTAGAAATATTTTAATAAAATACATGAATCATTTACTTCTCGATCCAGTCTGCGACTCTGTCATCTTTAAATTTCCGTGGAACGCAAAAACTCATCGCTAAACTTGCAGTCTGGACATCACCCGTGTTGTCTACATATTTCTCAAATAATGTCACGCCATCTGATGTCAAGCCAGTTATGATTATTCCCTCGATATCACCGTCAGCTTTAACCTTGTTGGCGGTATCAGATAAGTATGTAGAGAGTTCATCATCATCCAAGAATCTCAACGCAATACAAACTCTATCGAGCAATGCAAGTTCTTCTTGTTGTTGTAACACATAAAGCCAATTACCAGACGCAATAAATGAAAAAATTACTCTAAGGTAAGGTTCACGTAATTCGTTACTTAGTTTATTGCACATTTTACGCAAAAGAGTGTTTTTTTGATTTGAATGACTGTGGTCATTAAAGGCAGCCAATGTGGCCGATATCAATTCCAAACGTTCAACTAAGATTCATAAGAAAACATGGTAAGCATAAGAAAAATATTTTTAAGTATTAAGATATACATTTTTTTATGTACCTTTACTATTATTTAATGCAGTTATTGCTCTTTCGGTATTACCATGGAACAATGCGATTCCCGCAGCTTTTTCATAATTATTTGCATTTTCCAATCTAAATAAATAATTGTGTTAGATTATTATGATAGGTTAAATAATACAATTAACAAATAGTCTATAACTGACTCTCGAATAACATTTTCCAATTCTTTCTTTCCAAAGTCCCAACCGCACATTGCCAGTGCTAATTTCCGTTGAGATAACTTTGAAGTGGGAACGATAGGAATTTCATTATCATCAACAAGCCCCTGGTCGACTTTCTCAGGTGTAGATCTAGGAGATGATGTTTTAGGTGTTGATATCGGAGATTGTTTTTTACTACTGGGCACTGAAGCTGTCCATATTGAATAAACTCCCTGAAAACTAAAATCTACATTTCCAATGGTAGCTTTTCCTTCAGAAAGTAGTTCGGCTTGGGCTATCCAATTCCATAATGACTTTAATTTTGGTGAATCCCTCACAAGTTCTTCATTTGCTGTGCAAAGCATAGAATAGCCCCGTTTAGCTCTTTTACGCATAACAACTGAAATATCTTCGCGTATCAATTTCAGCGGTGGTGATAGACCATGATCACTATCACCACTTATTGAGGTTAATAAACCTTCTGATCTATGCTGCTGATTCAGGATAATTCCTTTTAATTGCCTTCCAAATAAATGAGCATCTTTGGAATTGTTAATATCACCAGGCCGAGGGGTTCTATTCCCGCTATCGTGATCATGATCGTGCCTGAGATCCAAAGAAACGTGATGCTTATGTCCAGTTCCCCCAATGTTTGAATGCCCCTGACTTTTCATGTTATGTGAATCACTACGTTTAGAATTAGATTCTTCTATGGTTCCATGAATTTCATCTATGTCAAAAGTTCTAAACCCTTTGGGATAAAAGACAACCATATTCCCTTCAGGACTCCAGCAAAACTGTGGGGTTTCTTCCAATGTCACTAAATTGTACACACCGTCTTTATTGACCGATATTAATCGGTGGGAGGTTGGTGTTGAAAAAGTCGTTATCCACGAAAAGGACGAAATATTCTTTGAACATCGACGCGCTTAATAAAGATTAATGCATTGTAAGTAAGTCAAAAAATGATAAAGAGAATAACGTAATCACAATTATGGATAGCACCAAAATTTGCTCCTCTAAAGGGAGCTGTGAATGAACAATTTCATATAAGAGAGCTTTTACTAGGAAAATGATCTCTGGATTATGTATATTATTAATTAAACTTAATTTTGTTAGTCATTCAATGATCAAATTCGAATAAACTTTTTTTCCTATTTCATAAAGCTCATTAAATCCTATGAAATGAAAAAAAGTTTATTCAAATTGAATCATTAGATGGCTAACCAATTTAAATTTTATAAATAAAATGTAAATAGTATCGGAGGTCATTTTTCTAGCAAAGGCCCCATACATATATTGCATTTTGGCTTAATTGATAAATATCATGCGACATACATTTTCTAGATTTCCATAGAACTGGCGTATCAAATTCTTCGTCTGTTCTGTTTGAGACCGTTACAGGAGCACCAAAAATAATATTTTTCTCGCTCATGGGAGTACTGTTACCTCCTACAGCGATGCCAGCTGAGAATCCATCAGTTAAATTTGTATGAGGATCGAAATTTTCTAAAGGAGAATTTCGATTTATCGTTGAGGATTGTCGTAATTTAAATGTACTTTCTTGAATATCATATAACGTTAAATGGCTTGAATCTTTTTCTAATGATGTCAGTATGCCAGAACGTGCTTTGGAAAAGGATATTCGAACAGGTTTCGAATCGGTGGGTATGCTTAGAACGTATGACAAATAATACGACGTTAAAGTGATATATACCGCATTAAAAAAGATGTTATGAATGTTATGATCATTTTGTATGGAAAATAAAGGATATTGACTCTGCGAATTTGCGTAAGTCCCATAGATGGATATAGCTCTCTTCAAAGCTGGCAACTCGATTTTCATTAAATGGGTCCACATTTACCCCATGAACAGATTTAGTGGTTGTGCATTGTACATAATTGTCCTCTTTAACCATGTAAAAGAAAATTATATTACGCATCAAAATATAATAAGTAGCTTTATATATAATCCACTAACAAATAAATACTTCTTAAATCATAAATTCTTAAATTTTTCATCGACATTCCAGCTACTAGCCTTCGATTTGATGGGAACCAAGAACATGAATTGACAGATTCATCTAAACCATGTTGATAAGTAGGTTTTATTTCATCATTTCGTACGTGGCTTTATACGCAAATTTATGAGTAAAAAATAAGTAATTATAATATTGAAAATCAATGAAGTATATTATTTGAAAAGAGCACCATAAAATTATAAGAGATCATATTTACCTGGATGTGGGTGCAAAGCGCGAGGTTTCATAAACTGATTTAGATGGTTCTAGGAGTAAATGATATTAATCATCCTGTGATTGTATTAAACAAATCGTTTTCTCTTAATAACCCACCCAATGGAAATGATGGATAGCCATCATATCCAAGTTCATTATGTATACTTCGATCACTTCGTCCACTGATGCTTCCAGTCCTACTAAGCGTTTCAGTTGACAATTTTTGTGTGAGAATTTGCTTACTTTGGTCAGCCAAAATATCGTACCTTGGCTGTTCAACATCCCAAATCAACAAGCCATAATCCTTTCTCGTCCTTTCTAAACCAGCCGCTAGGAGGCGTGGTTCTTCCGGCGAGAATGATAAAGCATTGCATTTTGAATTTCTAAGGTTGAGAGTGATGTATGGCTGTGGTTGATACACTGAAGATATATCAGATGATACGCTAAAATCATTTGATGGTGCTTCCCCAGCTTCTCCTTCGTGAAGATTCACCAGAACTATTTTGTCGGTTTGTGAAGCTTGTGAACTGATCGCAATCAGACTTTGATAACTAGGATCAGGTGACCATGCTAAACACTAGGATCCAAGATGATTAGCAAAGAACTTAGCAAAGAACTTGAATATTTTTTTATAAAAATCTAAAATTGACACTTACCTTCATCAACGATGAATCCTTCATCGATGAAGAATCTGTGTATGCAGTTACCCTTCTCACAATGGTTTTACCATCTAGTCTCTATTACGAATAGGAATAACACATAAAGACATCAGTAATTTAA